GCTGGCATGTGGTGCTGGGGGATTGAACTGTGGTCCCTGTTTGCTAAGCTTGTTCTAAGTAGGTGCTTTAGACCACTGAGCCATCTCACCAGCCCTCCACCCACACTTTAACTTGGTCCTTATACAGACAACATGGATTCAGGGCCAGGGTGATAGCTCAGTAGAATAAGTGCTTGCCAGTGCAAGGGCCTGAGTTCAATACCCGGTTCCACCAAAAAAGAAAGAAAAAGAAAAAAAAAAGAAAACATGGGTTCAAACATGAGTGTGACAAGAGTTTATGTTACATGGACACACAGTGCACCACGCACAGCTTTAGGCAGTGGGGTGCAGTGCTTCCCAAAGCAGCATAGTGCTGCCCTCATGGGGCTCACATTCCAGTGCCAGGTGCCCAGAATTAGCCTTGAGCAGGGAAACGATGTCACTGTAGAGGAGAGAGCGGGAGGGTAGGTGTGGTGTTAAGAGGCTGTAGAATAAGTCGTGCCTGGCAAGCACCGGGTCCTGAGTTCAAACCCCAGTACCACCAAAAAAAAAAAAAGATGATGTAAGAAGCCTGTGGTTTTAAGCAGGAGCAGGAAAGGCTGTGAGGAGCGTATTTGAGTAAGATCTGAAGAGGCAAGGAAACCAGCCATGCAGACATCTAGGGCATGGCAAATGCAGAAGCGCCGAGCCAGAATTGCTTTGTGCTTGGTGTAGGGAAATAGTAATGGCTGGAATGGGAAAAGCAACAAGGAAAAAGTAGGAAACGAGGGCATCTCGATGCCTGGTGCAGCGGATCGTCACGTTGGCCTTGTAGGCAGCTGTGAGGACACTGGGTGAAGTGGGAAGTCGTCCAAAGGGTTGATGCAGAGCACCTGTATAATATGACCAACATTCTGCCAGATTCCTACTGCACAGAGTGTAGGGACGCATAAGCGGAGGCAGCGAGGACATTTGGGAAGCCGATTCTGTAATCCCTAGTGAGAAGGTGGTTGGTGGTGCGGAGCAAGGTGGCAGTGTTGACAACTGATTCAGCACAGAATGCGGTGGCAGGGAGTCAGCAGTGATGTCCAGGCTTTGGGCCTGAGTAAGTTAAACATGGAGTTTCTACCATCCAGTCTGGGAAAGACCACTGTGAGAGATTTGTGACTGGGCAGTTAGGCACGTGAGCCTTGGCTTCAGGAGGAAGAGGAGAAGCAAAGTCGCTGTCAGTGTGCATCCTGAGAACCTTGGGTTCCCAAAGAAAGCTGGCTCTGTCCCGTCTGGCTAGGGGGCAGCAGCAGAAAGTAGTGACTCGACAGTGTTGGCACCCTCTTATATGGAACTGCGAGGGGAAGGGCACGAGGACTGTGGCACAGAGTTAATTGGGCATAGTCCTGACCGTGAGGGAGGAGAGCCAGGCCTTAGTTGGCCAGCTCCCCCATGTACGAATGACCCTGCCAGCCTGCAAGCCCGTATCACTAAGTCAATCCCTATCGTAAACTTACAGCACGGCATCTGCGCCCGAGATCAGATTGTTATTTCGCCATAGCCAGGCAAAGGGGCATGTGCCTGCAGTTGTGCCTGCAGTCCTACACTTGGGAGGCTGAAGCAAAAAGATCTCAAGTGAAAGGCCAGCCTGGGCTATGAAGTGAGGCTCCATCTAAAAAAAAAAAAAAAAAAATCTACATCATATCAAAGTTGTATTATCTTGCTTTTAACTTCAGGTCTGTGACTAGCTTAGGAGGTATCTGGTGACTAAGTCTCAGTGGAAATTAACCGCTGGGAAGTTCCCATCCCACAAAAGGATTTTCCTAAGAAGCAACACTCCTGGTCCGATGCTGGGTTTCAGAACCAAAAGAACCAGTCCTGACATTAGAAGAAGTCAGACAGTGAATGAATAGAGGGTTCTAAAACTAGGTACGGGGGCTGGTGAGATGGCTCAGTGGTCTAAAGCACCTACTTGGAACAAACTTAGCAAGGCATAGGGACCACGGTTCGATCCCCCAGCACCACATGCCAGCCAGCCCCGCCCCCTGGTGGGCTGAGCTGGCCACACACACACACACACACACACACACACAAATAAATAAATAAATAAATAAATTAAAAAAAAAATAAAAGTTGGTATGGGGTCTGAGGGCCACATGGTCAGGGGTGAGTACTGATATTTGCTAACTCCTCAGTCCTCCTCCTGGTGCTTCTTTTGCTGGTGAGAAGGAAGCGCAAGGTCAAAGAGCCTCTTCTGCTCCCAGAAGATGACACCCGTGACAATGTCTTCTACTATGGTGAAGAGGGAGGTGGCGAAGAGGACCAGGTAGGTCATGGGGGCAGTCTGGGAGTTGGGAGGTGGATTCTGCCCAGGCCACCAGCAGGAGCAGTTGGGTCAAGCAGGTATGCACGGCGCAGTCAGTCTCCTTGCAGAGTACACCAGCAGCTTCCTCCTCTGCAGGGGCTTGGCCCATTGCTGTTGTGTCTTTGACGAGGCCAAGCGGACCTTGAGTGTGAATTTAATTTGGAAGGACAAGGAGGGGAGGGCAAGAGCATTCAGAAATCCCTGACATTAATCAGTCTGCTAAGACTTACCTGCAGACCAGAGCATCCAAGTGCTAAGTTGTAACTGGTAAGGAAAGTTCTAATTCCACAATCACTCATTTTTGTAAAGGACTACGACATTACCCAGCTCCATCGGGGTCTAGAGGCCAGGCCTGAGGTTGTTCTCCGCAATGATGTGGCACCAACCTTCATACCCACACCCATGTACCGTCCTCGGCCAGCCAACCCGGATGAAATCGGCAACTTTATCATCGAGGTAAGATATGGCGGGCCAGCCCTTAGTCAAGCCCAATACAAGCAGCACAGGAGAACAAGCATAAGCTTGGGATCTTGGCTCTGGGTTGAAATTCTCACTCTACCACCAAATCACTATATAAGTGACATCTGTCACCGGATTATTTCAAGGAGTGAATCAGGAAGCACTTAGGACAATTCTGTAACAGATGCCCTAGAACCTTCCTGCCTTTGGACCCGTCCATGCACTCTGTAGCTCTGGCTCACACCCAGTGGCTCGGGTCTGTGGATTTGGGCGTGACTCAGGCTTGAATTCCCAAAGTCGATCACAAATTCAGACCATGAATTGGGCATGTAGAAGGTCTGTGACAGGAGCCCAGCACAGCCTGACTCCTGGTTAGCAGTCAGTGACTTGAGGTCCTCTGAGCTGAAAGTCAAAACTGGGTGGGCTGCTGGCCAGCAGCAGTGGACAGGAGGTCTCAGCCCAACTCAAGTACTTGGCCTGTCTTGTGCCGAGATGACCCCTAAGCTGCGTGGACACGCATGCATGCACGCAGCCCTCTACAAATAGTCTGGTAGTGCATGCTAGAAGAGTGCTGTACAAAAAACAGATTGTCTTACACCTAGGGAGAAGCTACTCAGCACAGCTTGTTCAGAGAAGATGCTTTTGCCAGGAATATAGCCCAGCGGCATAAGTGCCTGCCTCACAAGGGCAAGGTCCTGAGTTTGATCCCAGTACCAGAGAAGTAATTACCAGAGAAGATGCTTTGGTGCCAACTACCTGGAGCTTTACCCTCTGGGTTGATGGCGGTGGCTAGAGAGATGGTCACACCCATCATGTGTGGCATCTGGGTTCTGGCTAGAGCCAAGTCCCTGGGCGCAGGGTTCTAAGCCCAGAGGGAGGGGCAGGAAAAGAGAGGCTCGCAGGTGACAGTCCTGTCATTCCTAACCCTGGCTCTCTGTTGCCACAGAACCTGAAGGCAGCCAACACAGACCCCACAGCCCCACCCTATGACTCGCTGCTGGTGTTTGACTACGAGGGCAGCGGCTCCGATGCCGCGTCCCTGAGCTCCCTCACATCCTCGGACCAGGACCAGGACCAGGACTATGATTACCTGAACGAGTGGGGCAATCGCTTCAAGAAGCTGGCGGACATGTATGGTGGCGGGGAGGACGACTAGGCCAGCAGTGCCAGGAACTAAACATCAGGCTACAACAGCATCTCTAAGGGGGCTCAGTCCCCTCCCAGCCAGGGACTTCGGAGCTTGCAAGGAAGTGGCCTGAGCAGCTGAGAGGGTGGGGGCTGCACATCCGACCTGAGCGAGTTGGGTTCTGAGCCTGTCAGAAGCGAAGGGCTCGGGCACTGTGAGCTTGCCGGACACTGACCACCGCTCAGCCTGTGTCCCGCCTGCCCTGGACCTCCATTTCCCGAAGTCTCCCTCCTGCCATGAGGTGCTCAGCCCACATCCTGGGCCTGGACAGCTCTGATGTCCCTTGAAGACTTTACCTCCAAAATGGATCTTCTCTTTAGAAAGAGGCCTCTTGCTCCAACCTGTTTCTGTTTTTTAAAATGTTATTTTCAGAAAGTTAGAGGCAGGTCCTCCACGCCCCCTCAGGGAGCACAGCCTGCAGGCTCACTGACCCTCCTGTGACTCAGCTCTCCAGGTCCCAAGCCTCCCACTAGGGTGAATCAGTGCATTTTTATACCAAGTGTGTCTAGGTTGTCCTGTGTTTTTTATTTCCTCTGTTGTGTGCTGTAGATGAAGGGTGATGACAATCGTATAAATGGACTAGGACATTTTTTATTAAAGGAACTTTTCCCAGAGGTGCTAGGGGAGTGCTCTTCTGGAAACAGCTGCTCACTGAACTCTCACACCACACCGATCGCCCATGTCCAGGAGCCCATGCTGTGGGGGCTAGAATTTTCAGCACTGTGCCAAGGAATGAGCTTTCAACCATGCTGGGTCCCCCAGGGGTAGGGGGAGCTCGGAGTCCCCATCACACCCAGGTAGGCCCAGCAAGGGGTAGTGCAGTATGGAGGTACATGCCCCTACCTGCTTTCTCACAAATGCAGGGCTCTGCTGGAGAGAACCACGAACAACATCCTTCCCCTTGGGCTGAGCATCACCAGAGCCTAGATAGGATTGCTTAAAGTCTGCCTGCCTCAAGGGTTTTCATTTGTAAAACGAACTTTTTAAAATTTTTTTAAAATTTTTTTGTGTGGTACGGGGGATTGAACTTGGGACCCTGCACTTGCCAGGCAAGCACTTATTCTACTGAGCTATCTCCCCAGCCCCAAAACAGGGACTTTTTTAGTCAGGTATGGGGACACATGTCTATAATCCAGGAAGATTGGGCATGGTCAAGGCCAACATGTGCTGTATGAGGTGAGTTCAAGGGCACTCTGGACTATATAGTGAGACCTCATTTAATAAATTTTAGGAAGAAGCAGGATATGTGGGTCTGGGGAAGTAGCTTAGTGGTGAAGCACCAAGTATATGTGGGGACCCATTTCACATTCCAGTGTTACAAATAATGGGAGGGCCGGACAGATAGCTCAGTGAATGAAAGTGTTTGCTTGGGCTGATGTACGGCCCAGGATTCAATCCTTGTGCTGGTGCTGGTCCTGACCCCAGGACACACTGAAATGGCATTTGAGACTGGGCATGGTGGTGCTTGCCTATAATCCCAGTGCTTCGGAGGCTGAAAACTGGAGGATCACTGAGTCTGATCTGTGTAGTTAGACCCTGTACAAAATACATAAAATAACAACATGGAACTTTTTTCCAGTACAGTAGTGCATGCTTAGCACTCGGCAGACTGAGGAAAGACAGCAAGTTTAGGCCCACCCAGGCTACAGAGCGAGATCCTGCCAGAAATTGAGGGAGGCTGAGGCAGGAGGCTCACAGGTTCAAGGCTGTCCTGGATAAGAGTGGAACCTTTTCTCAAACTACAAAGAGCGGGGCTGGTGAGATGGCTCAGTGGTCTAAAGCACCTACTTAGAACAATCTTAGCAAAGCACAGGGACCACGGTTCAATCCCCCAGCACCACATGCCAGCCAGCCCTGCCCCCTGGTGGGCTGAGCTGGCCACACACACACAAATTAATTTAGGGGCTGGTGAGATGGCTCAGTGGTCTAAAGCACCTACTTGGAACAAGCTTACCAAAGCACAGGGACCGTGGTTCAATCCCCAGCACCACATGCCAGCCAGCCCCGCCCCCTGGTGGGCTAAGCTGGCCACACACACACACACAAATAATAAATAAAAAAAAATAATAAAACATTTTAAAACAAATTAATTTAAAAAAAAAAAAAACTACAAAGAGCTATAGATGCACCAGAGTGGTAGGCTAATCCTGTGCTTGATTCCCCATATCATCCGAAAAAAGTTAATGGTAGTTAAGTGAATTATTATGGGACATGTGGCAAGTGCTGTTTGTGTATAGGTAACTACTGTCCCCTCAGGCAGCACTTAACTTGTAAGTTTGTTCTTTAAACTCAGCCTCTGAGGATTTTCCTCCTTTGAAGAAAAGCCTCATTGTGTTTTTTTATAAATGATACCTGGTCATCAAAATAAGCAAAATGAAGAGCCACCAGGCAGGCTGGCAGTGAAATGACATGAATGCAGGAGTAAGGCAGGGGATGGGGCTGGGGGCAGCAGGGGTAGAGCAATTCAATTTGTGCCTTTGTCAAAGTCAAGTTCAAATTTTTTTCAGTTAGAGGAAGAAAATCTGCAGCAGAGCCAAATTGCTGAAGTAGAAGTGAAAGTGTCCTTTCCCCAGGAGTGATTCGGTCTTTAAAGCAGTCCTCTGAGTCTGGCCCTCACCAGCTTTACCAACCCAGCTGTACCGGGCACTGGGGGCAGGGGTGCAGGCTGGTTCACCCAGTGTCAGGTGCTCCTGAAGCAGTCTGCCCACGATCCTGAAGGTGGAGACCCTTCGGTGGGAAACTCGGAGAACTGAGTAGGAGGGCCCACACTTTGTCCACAGCGCATAGATCTTGGGGCACTGCTGCCTCCTTTTCTCCTTCAGAGCTGCAGTCTGGTCCTCCCTGCCTCCTGCCTGGCCCTGCTGGGCCGCTGCAGCTGAAGGGGGGCCAGGAAGAATTGGGTGTCAGTGCCAGCGGTGCCTGCTGCCCCTTATCTTCAATTCCCCAAGCACAGACCTGAGTAAGGTGGGAAATGCCATCTTCCCGGGGCAGCTAATGAAATCCAGAAAGCCTCCATTAAGGCTGGATTTCTCCCCCTTGGCCTCCTGCAAGGCATCCGGGAGGAAAAGCAGCAAAAGCAGCCGTCCCTAGCCAAGCCTGCCCCCTGTGGGTGGGTCTGGATTCCTTTGGCAAGGGAACCCGTCTGAGTAATTTGGAAACAATGAACCTGGACTAGGAGATAGGGTTGGGTGCTAGTTAAGTTGCTCTCTGACTCTCGGCCTGCTTCTCATCTGCAAAATGGGTCTCCAGGTGTGGTCTTTGAGACTTAGAAAACGATGTCAAAATGTTTTTAGCTGTCGAGTCGCTGCTGCTCACCACTCCAAGTGAGCATCGGCAGTGAGAAGCAATATAACTGACGCTCTGGCCAGAAGCATCGGGATGCCGGACGCACTGATCCTTCCACTTTGTCGTTCACCAGTTTGCAGGGCATCCTTCCAGCGTTTTCCCTGTGCATTATAGCCACATTTGTAACACACCTGGCTAGGGTCGCCTTATTGTCTCTGACATATCCACTTTAGATGTGTTGTCACTTATTCAGTCTCACACCATCCATGAACATAGTGACCTAATTTGGGGCCCATAACAGTGTCAAACACCGCAGAACATCCATGTTTTGCAGATGCTTCAAAGCCAGCGTTCAGCATGGGGAAGAGAGGCAGGGAACATGGTCCTGGCTGAGATCAGGGTTCTGTGGAGTCCTAGAACCTAAGTAGGCAGAGAAGCTAAGAAGAGTGGAGCTTACTTGTAAGAAAGAATTGGGGTGGGGCCGGGGAGATGGCTCAGTGGAATAAGCACTTCCCTGGCAAGCACAAGGGCCTGAGTTCAATCCCTGGTTCCGCCAAAAAAAAAAAAAAAAGAATTGGAGAATGCAGAGCCCTTTCTTCTCAGCCTAGCGGGGGACCTGCTGGTTAGCTCAGTTGTTTAAGTGCCTGCTTATGCAAATGCAGTCAGTTGCAGGATACTGTGGTTCGATCCCCAGCTCCTCAGGCCTTACCAGACCCGCCCTTAAGGCAGCCTAAGCCAGCCCACCCCCCCAAAAAAAGAAGAATAAATAAAATAAATTTTAAAAAATCCTCCTCAGCCTCATCCATCCGGTGTCTCTTTTCCAACTTCCAGACAGAAAACTCTTCTGCTACTCCCCTGAGCAGGTAGGACTACAGCCTTGCACGACCTGCCCAGCTTCTGCCTCACTTTCCCCATCTGTAAAGTGGAGGAGTGAATGAAGTGCTCAGAACAATGCCTGCCACACAGTGACTACATGAATGTTACTGTTGTCACTATCAGTGTTGTGGGCGAGGGACAGGCAGGGCCAATTCATACTCATTTCTTGACATACTCACAACGCTGGGTGGAAACTGCACTTCCAGGAGGATGAATTCCTGGAGATTCTAGGGCGATGGGCACGTGCTACAGTGGGCAGTGACTGGGGTTTCCCAGAAGGCCCTCCCCTTCGTGCCCAGCAGAGGGCACCATTCACCCGAGTCACCGGACCTTCAGGAGTGGACCGCAGTCCGGTGTCTGGCTGCGAAGATGGGAGGATCGGTGTGTGGCAGGCGCTGTCCCGGAGTGATGGTCTTGTGGTGGTCGGTACTGAAAGGGCTATGCCTGCCCATGACAGTCAGTTACATTCATCCTCTCACCTGCTCAAAGAAAAGTTTTACGAGTTTTTTGTTTTTTTTTTTTTTTCTTTTTTCCATATTTTAGGGAAGGGTTTACAGGGTGTTCAGGGTCTCAATACTAGATCGGTCTCAGTGATGCACCTATTTATAGCCTCCCAAGAGCTGGGATTACATGTGTGTGCCACCACACCCAGTCTCAATTGGCATCTCAGTGTGCCCCAGAGGCGGGACCAGCCTGGCAGGCCCGGGGATCGAACCCCAGCTCCTGCACCTGCTTGCAGGTGCTTTAATCCGCTGAGCTATTTGGCTGCTCCCCCCCCCACACACACACACCCCATGAGTGTTTTTAAAGGAAAGTGAAGTCAAATGTGGTGACCAACTCTAGTAATCCCAGTACTCTGGGAGGCTCAGGTGGGAGTTTGAGACTAGCTTGGGCAATTTAGTGACTTAGTAAGACCTTGTGTCAAAATAAAAACCTAAAAGAGTTGTGGTAAAGCTCAGGGTGAAGGCCCTGGGCTTGATAGTACTGCAAAAACAAAACAAACCTTACATATAAATCAAACACACCATATAGTAAAAGGCAAAGCTAAGGAAGAAAATAAAGCTCCGGTGATTAGTGAGGGAGTAACTGGAGTGTGGGCTCAATTCCAGCAGCCAGGAGGACCTTGCTCAGAAGGTACCATACGTGCAAAGACCAAAGCATATCAGGTAGCAAGGCGTGCAGGTGTCACCTTAGTGGTCAGAACAGCAGGTGCCAAGGCCCAAGGCGGGGGTGTGCTTTGCAGTGTTAGCAGGGAGGCAGGGAGGCTGGCACAGGGTGAGAGGAGGCCAGAGTGTGACAGCAGCAGGTGAGATCAAACAGGCAAGGAGGGGGCCCAGGAATACCCTAATCCTAGGTATTCTCCTCGGTATTGAGCTGGAGGCTGAGTTTTGAGTTTAGAAGGGCCAGGCCCAGAAGCCCAGGAAAAGGCCTGACTCAGCTCCATTCCAGAGCTGGC